CTGGGTTGTTAAGACACAGATGTGTATAAATGTAAAAATTCATCAACCTGTATACTTAAGAGTGTGCAGTTTAATCTACTTAGGTATGCTATAATAAAAAATAAATTTTTAGAAAATGTCCCTACCAAATATGAATCTCTGAATTCCCAGTGGGTTTACACTTGCAGCCAGACTGCAATTTTTTTTTTTTTTTTTTTTTTAAGAGATAGGCTTTCACGATGTTGACCAGGCTGGTCTTGAACTCCTGGCCTCAAGCAATCCTCCCATCTTGGCCTCCCAAAGTGCCACGGTTACAGGTGTGAGCCACCACGCTTGGCCAAGACTGTAATAACATTTTGACGTATGCTGTAACAAAACCATCAGAAAAGTTTTCTTTATTAACTTCTCTTTTTTTTCTTTTTGAAATGGAGTCTCGTTCTGTCACCCAGGCTGGGGTGCAGTGGTGATCTCGGCTCACTGCAACCTCTGCCTCCTGGGCTCAAGTGATTCTCCCGCCTCAGCCTGGCTAATTTTTATATTTTTAGTAGAGATGGTGTTTCACCATGTTGGTCAGGCTGGGCTCGAACTCCTGACCTCAAGTGATCTGCCCACCTCAGCCTCCCAAAGTGCTGGGATTATAGGCGTGAGCCACTGTGGGGGCCTCCTCATGCCAATTTCTCAGCTTTGCAGGGCTTGTTCAGCAATGAAAATTGGGTCTTTTCTCAGATTTCCCTACTGCTGATCTAGGATCCAGACTTCTTGGGTCTGTTAATTCAATTACAGTTTACCTACTTTCCAGCACCCAAAACTTGCTGTTGAATCCTCTTTCTCTTCATCCTCACAGGCTTATACTATTTAAAAAAAAAAAAAAAAAGTCCACTTCCTGTCATTGCACTGGAGATTTAGGAACAAGTGGACCTAAATATGTACGTTCAACCTACCATGCATAGTTACGCTAATATTTAAAATTTAAAAAAAAAAATTAGCTTAAAACCAAAAGATCAACTAGTAATCAAGATTTTCTTAAACTTGGGGTTAAAAAAGCCCTTTAGGCTGGGCATGGTGGCTCACACCTATAATCCCAGCACTTTGGGAGGCCGAGGTGAGTGGATTACCTGAGGCCAGGAGTTGGAGACCAGCCTGGCCAACATGGCGAAACCCTGTCTCTACTAAAAATACAGAAATTAGCCAGGCATGGTGGAACAAGCCTGTACTGTCATGCCAGCTACTAGGGAGGTCGAGGCGGGAGAATCACTTGAACACGGGAGGCGGAGTTTGCAGTGAGCTGAGATCGCACCACTGCATTCCAGCCTGGGTGACAGAGTGAGACCCTGTCTTAAAATAAATAAAAATTAAAAAGCACTTTACCATGTATTATCTTCTCTGAAGCTTACAACTCTGTAATGGTAAAAATTATTCTTTAGGCCGGGCGCGGTGGCTCACCCCTGCAATTCCAGCAGTTTGGGAGGCCAAGGCAGGTACATTGCTTCAGCCCAGGAGTTTGAGACCTGCCTGGACATGATGGCAAAACCCTGTCTCTACTGAAAGAAAACAAAAAAAATGCCCCCTAAAAAATTAGCCGGGCATGATCGTGCTCACCTGTAGTACCAGCTACTCGTGAGGAGTCTGAGGTGGGAGGATCACTTGAACCTGGGAAGCAGAGGTTGCAGTGAGTGGAGATCTTGCCACTGCACTCTAGCCTGAGCAACAGAAACAGAAAAACTCTATGTTTTATAGATGAGCAAATGAAGAAATGAGAGGTTCTAATACTTTCTCTAAAGCAAACTGACAGCAGACGAGCCAAATCTGGAAGGCTTTTAAAAGTTATTAGAATTTATTACAAACGTTAAAGAACAGAAGGCCTTGCATTAAAAAAAAAAAAAGAAGTTTTCATCAGCTCTTGAAACATTGGAAAATGGGACAATCTTGAGCCCACGCTTCCCACAGTGGCAATCATTTGAAGTTGAATCATGGCTGCCCCTTTCAGATGGGGTATGAGCCTTCCGGTCGACCCCTGCCCGCAGCAGCTACTTTTTTTTGTTTTTTTGTTTTTGTTTTGAGATGTAGTCTCGCTCAGTCGCCCAGGCTGGAGTGCAGTGGCGCGATCTCAGCTCACTGCAAGCTCCGTCTCCCGGGTTCACGCCATTCTCCTGCCTCAGCCTCCCGAGTAGCTGGGACTACAGGCACCCACCACCCCGCCCGGCTTTTTTTTGTGTGTGTGTTTTTAGTAAGACGGGGTTTCACCGTGTTAGTCAGGATGGTCTCGATCTCCTGACCTCGTGATCCGCCCGCCTCGGCCTCCCGCCTCGGGCTCCCAAAGTGCTGGGATTACAGGAGTGAGCCACCACGACCAACCCTTTTTTTTTTTTTGAGATGGAGTTTCACTCTTGTTGCCCAGGCTGGAGTGCAATGGCATGATCTCAGCTTAGTGCAACCTCCATCTCCCAGATTTAAGCGATTCTCCTGTCTCAGCCTCCTGAGCAGATGGGACTACAGGTGTGCACCACTTTGCCCGGCCAATTTTTGTATTTTTAGTAGAGACAGGGGTTCATCATGTTGGCCCGGCTGGTCTCGAACTCCCGACCTCAGGTGATCCCGCCCGCCTCGGCCTCCTAAACTGCTGGGATTACAGGCGTGAGCCACCGCGCCCGGCCATTTTTTATTTATATATTTATTTATTTAAATTATTATTATTTTTAACCAGGAGACATTTGAATCTGAGATAGGAAAGAAAATACTTTATTTGTAAAGAGAAAATGGAACTTAGTACATATGCCAAAATAAATCTGTAACACAGGCCACTTCTCTGGGCCCCATCTTGAGTAGGTTAAAGGGTTACCTTAGAGACTAGAAACACAATTAAGAGGCACAAATCCACACGGAGAATGTGCATATTTTGTCTCCTTTCCCCCCAAAACAAGTTGCACATACTTGTGTAAACACTGGTTGATTTGTAAAACATGTCTAGTACTGCAGAAAAAATGTGCTGAGATGAAAGGAAATAAAGCCATGAAAACAGGGCCAGGTACAATGGCTCACGCCTGTAATCCCAACGCTTTGGGAGGCTGAGGTGGGAGGATCACTTGAGGCCAAGGAGTTCAAGACCAGCCTGGGCAACATAGTGAGACCCTATCTCTGCAAAAAATAATTTAAAAAAATAGCCAGGTGTGGCTCGGCACGGTGGCTCACGCCTGTAATCCCAGCACTTCAGGAGGCTGAGGCAGGTGGATCACCTAAGGTCAGGAGTTCGAGACCAGCCTGGCCAACATGGTGAAACCCCGTCTCTACTAAACTACAAACATTAGCTGGGCGTGGTGACGGGTGCCTGTAGTCCCAGCTATTCGGGAGGCTGAAGACAGGGAGAATCGCTTGAACCTGGGAGGCAGCGGTTGCAGTGAGCCGAGACCTGACATTGCACTCCAACATGGGTGACAGAGCGAGACTCCAATTCAAAAAGAAAAAAATTAGCCAGGTGTGATGGTGCACACCTGCAGTTTTAGCTGCTTGAGAGGCTGAGGCAGGAGGATCACTGAAGCCCAGGAGGTTGAGCCTACGAGTTATGAACATACCACTGCACTCCAGCCTGAGTAACAAAGTGAGACCTTGTGTCTTAAAAAAACAAGCCACTAAAATAGCAACAAGAGCAGTTTACTTGGCTTGGAGGTCAAAGTTGCATTTGATGATAAATTCCCAGAGTGCCTTTGGTCAGCGGGAGAAGAGATATTCAGGAACACTGGGGTTTGGGAGTTTTATTCTCTTCTTTCTTACACCCATAAAGCCATCTGTCCATTCATTCATTTTTTTTTTCTCTTGCCTATAGCAAAACTGAAAGGGCCTTTAAACTCCAGTTTAACTTTAAATTTTATTCCCAAGATCCTCTAAATAGCAGCAGCTCTCAAATCCCAGCTCCAGCTTAGTGCCTTGCTAGCAGTGATACTGTGAAAAAAAAATCTAGCTGGCAGAACCTTGGTTTCTCCATTTGTGAAATGAAAGTACTGGATGATAATCCTGGCTCTGCCAATTTCCTGGACTTTTACCTGCTTCTTGCAGTTGAAGATGGTCTCTGATATCATCCCAGTTGGGGTGGAATGTCCTGGGTTTTGGGTTTGTTTTTTGGCATGTCCAGCATTTGTGGAAAAAGAAGATGCCCTAACTATCTTCAGAAGGCACAAAACTAGGTTTGTTTTTGTTTTTGTTTTTGACGGAGTCTCACTCTGTCGCCCAGTCTGGCGCAGTGGCACAATCTCAGCTCACTGCAAACTCTGCCTCCTGGGTTCAAGCGATTCTCCTGCCTCAGCCTCCCGAGTAGCTGGGACCACAGGTGTGTACCACCACACTCGGCCTTTTTTTTTTTTTTTTTTTTTTAATTTTTAGTAGAGATGAGGTTTCACCATGTTGGCCAGGATGGTCTCAAACTCCTGAACTCAGGTGATCCACCTGCCTCAGCCTCCAGGCTCAGCCTGGAATTACAGGCATGAGCCACTGTACCCGGCCCAAACTAGGTTTTGAAGGTGGAATAAGTTCTTCTAGCTGAGAAGGATCTCAACCTCTTGCAAGTTACTTTTTCACTCTTAAGGGCCCTTAAAGCAGCATTTGCTTAGCTCTACATCCAGGCCATCTCCGCCTTCCGGAAGAGCAACAGACCAGCAACTGGCATTAAGGTCCCGTGGGTGGGTGGGGCATAGAATTGCGGGGGTGACCCGGAAGAGCAACAGACCAGCAACTGGCACTAAGGTCACGTGGGTGGGGCATAGAATTGCGGGGGTGACGGTTCCAGCCAATCCAGACAATGAATCATTGTTTGGAGAAACCAGAGCCTCAAAGGGTGAATGCACTGACTAGCGCTGGCTCTCCATCTGTTGACACATTTGTTGAGTGCCTACTCTATGCCAAAGCACTGTGTTTTGGCGCCCTCGGGAGCACAAAATTGAGATAGATCCTGCCCTCAGGGCTTAATAAAGTAGCTCTCAGTCAAGGGTTAGAGCAAGGGTTGACAAACTACAGCCCCAGAGGGCCACCTGTTCGCGTAAATAGTTTTATTGGAACACCAGCCACACTCATTCGTGTTCACGCAGTGTCTGTGGCAGCTTTTACATTACAACAGCAGGGTTGAGCATTTGCAGCAGAGGTCATATGGCCTGCAAAGCCTAAAATCTTCACTTTCTACCCCTTTACAAAAAAGTTTGCCAATTCCTGCTAGAGAAGAGATGACATACAACAAAGAACTTAAACGAGTGATCAGGGAACACAAATTATTTACATAATAAAATTTCAGAGAGATTGGGGGGCTGGCTGAATTTAAAAAGCATGAATTATATGAGGCTTGATTACTGTGAAGAGATAAGTCACCTTAAAGTTACTTACATTTAACATACAATTTATATGCACTGGTTTAAAACACGCGCACACACACACAAAATGTAACACAAGCCAACTACTGATCTGGTACAGATGACAAAAGGGTGATCAGTTCCAACTTCAAAAGGAAAACTGGCTATGATGAGTCCATACTGAAAAAGTCACTGTCATTTATGGGTGGTCTAAGGGATTATTTTCAAGGGTAATTTTACCTACTTGATTGTTCATTTGAGGGTACACACTGAACTTTGGAACCACCGCTTGCATGGGTTCATGCCTCCAAAGCAGCCAACACTAAAGTGTTGGCTGGGCACAGTGGCTCCTGCCTGTAACCCCAGCACTTTGGAAGGCTGAGGCGGGAGGCTCACTTAAGCCCAGGAGTTCGAGACCAGCCTGGGCAACACAGTGAGACCCCATCTCTATTTCAAAAATTATAATAATAAAAAGAAAATAGTCTCTGTGCATAAGCACAACAACAAACCCCACTAAGGTGTTGAAGGACCCATTTTAATGAACAGTTAAGAATGGTTTGTATGTTACACTCTGCTTTGTTTTGACTTTTAAACAAAGAAAAAGAGGCTGCTTTCGAATTTAGGGTTGATCAAAACAGTTTGTCTTTTTTTTTTTTTTTTTGGTAGAGACAGGGTCTCGCCATGTTTACCCAGGCTGCTCTTGAAGTCCTGAGCTCAAGCAGTCCTCCCACCTTGGCCCCCCAAAGTGCTGAGATTATAGGCAGAAGCCACTGCGCCCAGCATCTTTGCTATTGAAACATCAAATGAAATCATACTAACGTGAGAACCCAATTCCGTTTAAAGGAAAAGCTCATTAAATAACCATCACCATTGTCTGGCCCTGGGGAGACTACGGGAATTAATGAGCGTTTATAGTTCTTGCCCTCTCATCCTCAAACAGCTTAGATAAAATCCCAAGGGACTGCTGCTGAAAGCGTCCTGCTGCAAATTACAAGAAAATCAGCCCAGCTTCAAGCAGAAAATGCCAACGACCAGGGCTGGGGAGCAGATTTCACGTAAGAACATCCAGACGCTAAGGAAACACCGAGGAATACTGTACAAGAGACACTGCAGTCACGTTGTGGAAGCTGCCACTGAGATGCACAGGGCGTGTTTGCTTGGAGAAAAGGCTCCGACATTCCAAGGAAAGGTTCCAACATTACAAACCGCTGTCCTTACGTGTAAAAGCTTTGAGGTGCACCCCTCTTCCACACTAGCTGATGTAGGAGTTAGAGGTAGTAAATGTGTGCATACAAAATTCAAACCTGTTTTGAAAAGCCCACCGTAGAAAGCATGCTTAAAAAACGGAATTCAGCTGTACGCCAGAAAATCAGTAGCATTATGGAAGGAAATTAAACTGGAAGTTTAAAAAACAGCCAATAGGCAGGTCCTTCCCCATGGTAGAAGGGAGCCTGGGTATTGTGCAATCTCACACCCACTGAAAAAATGCCATGCATGCCTCTAAATGCTCTGAGAAAGAACGCTTTGCACTAAGCCACAGCAACACACACCCCGTGACTTTGGAAAGCCAACGTGCAGCGCTTCATTTCTTATCCCGATGCACAAAACACAGGGCTCCATGGGCCTGAGATTTCAGTCCAGCCTGAAAAGACTAGTGAGCAGAGCCCTAAAATTGTCCATTCAAGGCAAAAAGCACTTTCTTGTATCTCGTGACAAAAAAAAAAGAAATAAAAATGAAAATAGAACCACAAAATGGGCAGACATGGTGGCTCACACCTGTAATCCCAGCACTTTGGGAGGCTGAAGCGGGTGGATCACCGGAGGTTAGGAGTTCGAGACCAGCCTGGCCAACATGGTGAAACCCCATCTCTACTAAAAATGCAAAAATTAGCTGAGTGTGGTGGTGTGCGCCTGTAATCCCAGCTACTTGGGAGGCTGAGGCAGTAGAATCGCTTGAACCCAGGAGGCGGAGGTGGAGTTTGCAGTGAGCTGAGATCACATCATTGCACTCCAGCCTGGGTGACAGAGCGAGACTCTGTCTCAAAAAAAAAAAAAAAAGAACCGCAAAACGGTATGTTGGTTCATTAGGCTGCTTTTTTCAAGCCCCGCTTCCCCAGAATACTGCCCTAAGAGACGGCTATGGAGTCTCTGCTGGTAGCTGCCAAGTAGCAAAGATATTTTCAAGAGTCAAAAAATGAAATACAAAATTTGATTTACAACACACTAAAAATGCTTTCCCTCCCCAAACTAAATAAGTTTTTTTTTTTTTTTTTGTTTTTTGTTTTTTTTTTAAATCTTTCCTCCTAGCCCTTTTGCTTGGGACTAGCCGGCAGTGATTTTCCTGGTTACTCCTCCATCTGGGCCCAGGCCTCTTCAGCCTTTTGGTAGTACTGGTTGGCCAGCCGGCCCTTCATGGCTTCCATGGCTGCCTCTGCTGCCTGGGTATACAAGTCCCCTGAAAGACAGCAAAAGGGGGCACAAAGAGGTGAACCACCTGTTGTTTTTGCCAGCCCAGGGTCCCCCATCACCCTTCCCAAAAGAGCACCCTGAGGTTTCCCTAAGAACTCAAACTACTCCATGGGCCCTCTCCCTCCAGGTGTTCTTAGCAGGGCTCTAAAGGTGGGCCTATGATCAACTCCAGCCAATCATAGCACTCTTCCCATCCCCCACCAAGCCACAGCGATTGGTCCACACTTAGTCATGGCCAATCAGAGTAAGCCATCTACACAATAACTACTGTTGGTTTGGGGTATGTAGATGATCCAATTTGAGCCAATGAGAATCAGGGTGAGAACTTTTGCAGAACTAATTGGGGATGTGCAAAAGCAATAGAAATGAAGACTATAAACAGCTTCATGTCAGCTAGGTCAGGTTTTATCAAGTGAATTTGTGCAAAACATACAAATATACTTCGGGTTTTTGGAGCTTTTTGGATTTAGAAATTTCAAATAAAAGATTATAGATTTGCATCATTCTTCTTTTTTTGAGATGGAGTCTCACTCTGTCACCCCCACTGGAGTCCAGTGGCGGGATCTCAGCTCACTGTCACCACTGTCTCTGGGGTTCAAGCGATTCTCCTGTGTCAGCCTCCTGAGTAGCTGGGATTACAGGCACCTGCCACCATGCCTGGCTAATTTTTGTATTTTTAGTAAAGATGGGGTTTCACCATGTTGGCCAGGCTGGTCTCGAACTCCTGACCTCAGGTGATCTGCCCACCTCGGCCTCCCAAAGTGCTGGGATTACTGGCATGAGCCACTGTGCCCAGCCTAGATTTGCATTATTCTTTGTTAATTTTTAAAATATAACTTAAAAACTTTTAAAACTTAGCCTCATAACTCTGAAATTAGGAACTTAGTATGTTTATTATATGTTAGGGACTGAATACTGTGTCCCCACTAGGCTCCCCATCCATTAATTCATATGTTGAACTCTTCATTCACAAATGTCACTGCACTGCATTTCGAGACACACAGTTTGTGTCTTAGGCCACTTTATGTTGCTATGAAAGAATTCCACAGACTAAATAATTTATAATGAAATTTATTTGGCTCACAGTTCTAGAGCCTGGGAAGTCCAAGAGCATAGCACCAGCATCTGGCAATGGCCTTGGTGCTGCATCATCCCATGCCAGAAGGTGGAAGAGCAAGAGAGGCAGAAGGCAAGCGAGCAAGAGGGGGCCAAATTTGCTTTTATAACAAAGCTACTTTTGTGATGACTGACCAATTTGCATGATAACAACATTAATCACCTCTTAACAGTCCCACCTCTTGACACCTTCACAATGGTGATTACAGTTCAACATGAGATTTGGAGGGGAACGTTCATACTCTAGCAGCCTGTGAGGAGGTGATAAAGCTTAAACGAGGTCATAAGGGTTGGGCCCTAATCACACAGAGCTCATGCCCTTTTAGGAAGCAGAAGAGACAGCAGAGCTCTCTTGCTATCTCCCCACTTGCATCCAGGAGAAAGGTCATGTGAGGACACAGTGAGAAAGCTGTTGTCTACAAGCCAGAAACCAAAGTGGCCAGCACCTTGATCTTGGAATTCCCAGCCTCCAGAACTGTGAGAAATAATTTTTTTTGTTTTGTTTTTTTGAGACAGGGTCTCACTCTGTTGCCCAGGCTGAAGTGCAGTGGTATGATCATGGCTCACTGCATGTGCCACCACACCCAGTTAATTAAAACAATTTCTTTTGTAGAGGCGAGGTTTACCTATGTTGCTCAGGCTGGTCTTGAACTCCTAGACTCAAGTGATCCTCCCATCTTGGCCTCCCAAAGTGCTGGGATTACAGGCATGAGCCACTGTGCCCAGCAATTTTTGTAGTTTAAACCACCCAGTCTATAGCATTTGGTTTTGGCAGCCCAGGAAGATTAATACATTATGTAACAGAAAAAAATATATACAACTTATCTATCAACTGATGAGTGGATAAACAAAGGCTGTATACCCAACAAATGGAATATTATGTAGTAATAAGAAGGAATGAAGTACTGATACATGCTTCAACACAGATAAATCTTGAAAAAGTTATGCTAAATGAAAGCAGCAGATACAAAAACCCACAAATTGTATACTCCCAGTTATATAAAATCTCCAGAATAGGCAAATCTATAGGGACAAAAAGTATAGTGGTTGCTAGGATGGGGAAGGACTGCTAACTGGTACGGGATTTCTTTCTGGGGTGATGGAAATGTTCTGGAATTACACAGTGGTGATAAGTGCACAACATATGACTACTATAGTAAAACCCACTAGGGCCAGGTATAGTGGCTCATGTCTGTAATCAAAAGACTTTGGGAAGCCAAGGCAGGAGGATAGCTTGAGGCTAGGAGTTCAAAACCAGCCTGGGCAACATAGCAAGACTCAGTCAATACAAAAAACTTTTAAAAACTGCCTGGGTGTGGAGGCAAGTACCTGTAGTCCCAGCTGCTTGGGAGGCTGAGGCAAGAGGATTGCTAGAGCATAGGAGTTCCAGGCTGCAGTGAGCTATGACTGTGCCACTGCACGTCAGCCTGAGTGACACAGTGAGATTTTATCTCAAAGAGAAGAAAGGGCCGGGCGCAGTGGCTCACGCCTGTAGTCCCAGCACTTTGGGACACTGAGGCGGGTGGATCACGAGGTTAGGAGATCGAGACCATCCTGGCTAACACAGTGAAACCATGTCTCCACTAAATATATAAAAAATTAGCCAGGCATGGTGGTGGGCACCTGCAGTCCCAGCTACTCAGAAGGCTGAGGCAGGAGAATGGCGTGAATCCAGGGGTGGAGCTTGCAGTGAGCCAAGATGACACAGCTGCACTCCAGCCTGGGTGACAGAGTGACACTCCGTCAAAGAAAAGAAAGAAAAGAAAGAAAAGAAAGAAAAGAAAGAAAAGAAAGAAAAGAAAGAAAAGAAAGAAAGAAAGAAAGAAAGAAAGAAAGAAAGAAAGAAAGAAAGAAAGGAAGGAAAGAAAAGAAAGAAAGAAAAGAAAGGAAAGGAAAGGAAGGAAAGGAAGGAAGAAAGGAAGGAAGAAAGGAAGGAAGGAAGAAAGGAAGGAAGAAAGAAAGGAAGGAAGAAAGGAAGAAAGAAAGGAAGAAAGGAAGGGAGGAAGGGAGGAAGGGAGGGAGGGAGGGAGGCAGGGAGGAAGGAAGGAAGGAAGGAAGGAAGGAAGGAAGGAAGGAAGGAAGGAAGAAAGAAAGAAAAGGAAAGGCGGCCAGGCATGATGACTCACACCTATAATCCCAGCACTTTGGGAGGCCGAGGCGGGCAGATCACCTGAGATCAAGAGTTCAAGACCAGCCTGGCCAACATGGGGAAACCCCATCTCTACTAAAAATAGAAAAATTAGCTGGGTGTGTGCCTGTAGTCCCAGCTATGCAGGAGGTTGAGGCATGAGAATCACCTGAACGTGGGAGGCGAAGGTTGCAGTGAGCACAGATGACCCACTGCACTCCAGCCTGGGCTACAAGAGTGAAACTCTGGGCCAGGCATGGTGGCTCACACCTGTAATCCAGCACTTGAGAGGCTGAGGTGGGTGGATCACTTGAGGCCAGGAGTTGCAGACCAGCCTGGCCAACATGGCGAAACCCCGTCTCTACTAAAAATACAAAAATTTGCTGTGCATGGTGGCACACCTGTAATCCCAGCTACTCAGGAGGCTGAGGCAGGAGAATCGCTGGAACTCGGGAGGTGGAGGCTGCAGCGAGCCAAGATCACGCCATTGTACTCTAGCCTGGGCAATAGAGCCAGACTCCATCTCGGGGAAAAAAAAAAAAAAAGGAAAGGAAAGGAAAAATCCCCCTATAAACTATAAATTTTAAGATGGCAAATTTTGTTATGAAAATCTCAGTTTTTAAAATTGCAACCTCCCCCAACAAAGCCCTAATATATAACCATTAAAACAACAATGTTCATCTTCACACTAGCTCCATAAATTCCCCTCCCTGGAGGAAGAGATTCAGCCTGTCATCTTGTCATAACCCCAGTGGAATGGAAATTATGTTCCTCCCAGCCTGGCCCTGTCGCAGCCCAGGGGCAGGTCTGCCGGGCCCCACCTGATCTCTGCGGGTCCTTCTCCAGCCCATAGCCTCCTGTGAACAGCATTTCGGCCTCCCTGGCCAGCATCGTGTACCGGGGCTCGTCCTGCATTCCGTCGTACTCACCACCCTCATCACAGTCCGTCATCTCCAGGGCAGTTTTGTACCAGTGCAGGGCCTCCAGCCAGTCTCGGCACCTTGCCAGGAGATACAGAGGGAAAGGGGGAGGTTACCAAGGCAACAGGGCAGAGGGAGGAGGGCCTTCCAGCAGGAGGGGTGAGTCAGGGATCCCAGCAGGGCCACGACCTATGGTTCACAACCTATCTTGCCCAAGCCCAATACATCTATGAAGCACCTTCATATTGTGATATTCATTCATCCATTCATTCACTCACTCATTCATTCATTCATTTTTGAGACAGAGTCTCATTCTGTCACCCAGCTGGAGTGCAGTGGTGCAATCTCGGCCCACTGCAGCCTCTGCCTCTCAAGTTCAAGTGATTCTCCTGTCTCAGCCTCCTGAGTAGTTGGGAGTACAGGTGCATGCCACCACGCTCAGCTAATTTTTTGTATTTTTAGTAAAGACGGCATTTCACCATGTTGGCCAGGCTGGTCTCGAACTCCTACCCTTGAGTGATCCACCCGCCTCAGCCTCCCAAAGTGCTGGGATTACAGACATGAGCCACCGTGCTCGGCCAATATTTATTAAGAGAGTAGTTGACCAGCCCAGGAAACAAAGAGAGAGACCCTGTCTCTACAAAAAACAAAACAAAACAAAAAAAGTGACTATAGTAAAAAAAAATGTAACCGTATATTTTAAAATAACTAAGAGTATAAATAGTTTATACCACAATGAATAAATGCTTGAGGTGATGGATATCCCATTTACCCTGATGTGATTGTTACACATTTCACGCCCATATCAAAAGAGCTCATGTAACCCATATACACACTTACTATATACCCACAAAAATTAAAAAATACAATAAACACACAAAAAATTAGCTGGGGGTGGTGATGGACACCTGTAGCCCCAGCTATTCCGGAGGCTGAGGTGGGAGGATTGCTTGAGCCCAGGAGTTAGAGGCTGCAGTGAGCTATGATCATGCCACTGCACTCCAGCCTGGGCAATAGAGTATGACCCTGTGTTTTAATTAAAAAAAAAAAAAGAGCAGTCAAGTTACTTTCCTTACTTAAATCAGTATATTACAACAATTTTCCAACAGATGAAAGTAAAGGGAAGCTTAGCTAGGACACCCCTTGAGGAAGGGGCCCATTTTTATAGTTGGCACGGAGGCAGCCATGAGCTAGCATTAGCAATGGCTGAGTGCCCTAGCTAAGCTGTCCTCTGACTTGTAGAGAAGTGGATTGGGGGCGGGGTCCTCTGCAGAGGCAGCTAGAGCCATCTGCACTAACGGCAATCACCGTATGCTCTGCTGTGCTGGCCAGCTGTGATTTGCCTCCAGCACAATGCAGAACTCACCCCAGAATAGCTGAGTCTCCTCTTCCAGCTCTGCCCCTCGACCCTCAACTCCTCCTACTGCAGCCCATGTATGGCCAAACCAGCCAGGGCACACATAGGTTCCAGCCAAACCCACACACCACAGAATACACAGCAAACAGGGCGGAGGGTTCTTTTTCTTTGGGTGTAATCCGTTTGAGTAATTATTTATAGTACATCAGGAAAGAGCAAATACAGTGACACAGATAAGGCCTGTGGGTCTCGTGAAACATTCCAGAAGCAATAGGTCTGATGACTTGCTGTCCCTGCCTTGCTGCCATGGTGCCCTCTGAGGCCCTGTCTGACAGGCGCTGCCCTCCAGGACGGGCTCCTGTTCGTCTGCCTTTGCACCAGGCTCACCGGCTGCCACCCATTCCCCAAACATACCCGCTCCTGCCTGCTGTGTGGCCTTTGCACCCACTGTTCCCTCACCTTGGAAGATTTCTCCTCCAACTCTTTCTGCACCTGACTCCTTGCTCTGGTTGGAACGTGTGTCCCCTCCAAAACCCATGTTGAGATTTGCTTGCCATTGTGAGGTATTAGGAGGTAGGATCTTTGAGAGGTGATTCGGCTTTGACGGTTTCGCCCTCATGAGCGGATTTCTGCCATTATGAGGAAAGTGGATTTATTCTAAAAGGGCAGGTTCAGCCCTCTTTCGCTCTCTCTTTTGTCTTTTCTTGAAATAGGGTTTCACTGCATTGCCCAGGCAGGAGTGCAGTGACACAATCATAGCTCACTGCAGCCTCAAAGTCCTGGGCTCCAGCAATCCTCCCATTTTAACCTCCTGAGTAGCTGGGATGACAGTGGCATGTCACCATGCCTGGCTAGTTTTAAAAATTTTTTGTAGAGACACACTCTTATCAGGTTGCCCAAGCTGATCCTGAACTCCTGGACTCAAATGATTCTCCTGCCTCAGCCTCCCAAAATGCTGGGATTACAGGCATAAGCCACTGTGCTTGGCTTGCTCTCCCTCCCTTTCCTTTCCTTCTGCCATGTGATGACACAGCAAGAAGGCCCTTGCAAGATGCCGGCATATTGATATTAGACTTCCCAGGCTCCAGAACTAAGAGCCAGCAAATTTCTGTTCATGAGAAATTCCCCAGCCTCAGGTATTCTGTTACCAGCACAGAACAGGCTAAGACACTCAGCATCCCTCCAGTCTCAGCTCACATATCACCTCTTTAGAGATTCTGTCCCCGAACACTGTTTCTTACTACAACCACCAAAATCTCTAATTCTCCTTATTCACTTGTTTATCATGGTGTCCCCTGACTAGAATGTAAGCCCCATGAAAGCAGGAGACCCTTGTCTGTTTTGCTGTATTTGTCTGCTGCATTCCCAAGGTCTGGCAAACAGCATAGGCTCAATGAATGTCTGGTAAATGAAAAAATGCAAACAAGTGGCTGGCTGGCATGGTTCTCAGGAAACAACCTGGACTTTATTTTATCTTATTAAAAAATGGCCAGATATGGTGGCTCATGCCTGTGATCCCAGCACTTTGGGAGGCCTAGGTTGGAGGATCTCTTGAGCCCATGAGTTTGAGACCAGCCTGGGCAACATGGCAAAACCCCAGCTCTACAAAAAATACAAGTTAGTTGGGTATGGTGGTGCATGCCTGTGGTCCTAGCTACTCGAGAGGCTAAGGCGGGAGGATAGCCTGAGCCTGAGAGGTTGAGACTGCAGTGACCTATGATTACACCATTGCACTCTAGCCTGGGTGACAGAGCAAGACTGTGTCTCAAATAAATAAATAGATAAATAAATAAAAGTTAAATTTAAAAAATGAACCATTCGAAAATTATTGGTGACATGCTCAACAAACTTTTTATTTATTTATTTATTTTTTTAAGACAGAGTTTCATGCTTGTTGCCCAGGCTGGAGTGGAATGATGTGATCTTGGCTCACTGCACCCTCCGCCTCTTGTGTTAAAGTGGTTCTCCTCCTTCAGCCTCCCAAGTAGCTGAAGTAGCTGGGATTACAGGCGCCTGCCACCACCCCAGCTAATTTTGTATTTTTAGTAGAGACAGGGTTTCAGAATGTTGTTCAGGCTGGTCTCAATCTCTTGACCTTGTGATCCACCCGCCTCAGCCTCCCAAAGTGTTAGGATTACAGGTGTGAGCCACCATGCTGGGCTGGATTTTAACACTGACTAGGAGACACTAGACTAGATTATTTCTCTCCTTTCTGCTCTGACCTTCCCTGGTCTTAAAGGGCAAAGCAAAATTGGCCTGAAAACATTAAATGGGAAAGGCCTAATCGCTGAGCCCCGCCCACCCCAACCCGATGCTATCCATTGGTGAGCGCACCCATCCTTCCTTGGCGTTTCCAGCATCTTCTCCTTCCCCTACTGGATGGTAACTTCTGGGGCCTGAATCCCTTAAACACAAATTTGGGCCTGCACAGAGCCCTGCCTTACCCATAGCTGGCCCTTAATTAATGTTCTTTGCATGGGAGGGGTTGGAACTTCTTTGAATAAGGAAGAAGAATAAGGAAATGACTAGAGCAGAAGCAATAAAGAAATATTTTTGATAGATTTAACTAAATAAATATTAAAAACCAGTGTGGCCCCAAACCCAGTAAACAATGGTCATTATGTGGCATCTGTGCCCTCCCTCTATCTATGGAAGACGTATTTGGGGGGGAAAAAAAAAAAAAAAGTTTTTTAAAGTGAAATGTGGCCAGGTACAGCGGCTCACACTTGTAATACCAGCACTTTGGGAGGCTGAGGTAGGAGGATTGCTTGAGGCCAGGAGTTTGAGACCAGCCTGGGCATCATAGCAAGCCCTTGTCTCTACAAAAAATTACAAAAATTAGCCAGGTATGGTGGCACATGCCCATGGTCCCAGCTACTCAGGAGGCTTAAGCAGGAGGATCACTTGAGCCCAGAAGGTCAAAGCTGCAGTTAGCTATGATCACACCACTGCACTCCAGCCTGGGTAACAGAGAGACCCTGTCTCAAAAATAGATAAATACATAGATAAAAAATAGGCCAGGCATGGTGGCTCACATCTGTAACCCCAGCACTTTGGGAGGCCGAGGCAGGTGGGATTACCCGAGTTCAGGAGTTTGAGACCAGCCTAGCCAACATGGTGAAACCCTGTCTCTATTAAAAATACAAAAATTAGCTGGGTATCATGGTACACATCTGTAGTCCCAGCTACTGGGGAGGCTGAGGCAGGAGAATCGCTTGAACCTGGGAGGTGGAGGTTGCAGTGAGCTGAGATCACGCCACTGCACTCCAGCCTGGGAGACAGAGAAAGACCCTGTCTCAAAAATAAAATAAAAAGGCTGGGAGCGGTGGCTCAGGTCTGTAATCCCAGCACTATGGGAGGCAGAGGCAGGTAGACTGCCTTAGGTCAGGAGTTCAAGACCAGCCTGGCCAATATGGTGAAATCCTGTCTCTTTTTAAAATATAAAAACTAGCTGGGTATGGTGGCAGGCACCTATAGTATCAGCTACTTGGGAGGCTGAGGCAGGAGAATCACTTGAACCTGGGAGGTGGAGGTTGCAGTGAGGTGAGATTGCACCAGTGCATTCTAGCCTGTTCGACAGAGTGAGAGTCTGTCTCAGAAATAATAATAATACTAAAATAAAAATAAAAAATAAAGAGAAAAGTATACCAAAGGGTTAATAGCCTTAATATGTAAATAATTTTTACAAATCAATAAAAACCTATCACCTCAAATAGAAATAAAAGGTAGACAAAGGCCAGGAAGGGAAAGCACAGATGCAAATACTCAGTGCCCAGTTCCAGGCTCCGCCCCATGCATGATGCACTTCCCCAGTGCACTCTATGGGCACCATATGTATACACTGACATTTGACCTAATACAATCATGTCAGTCTTTTTTGTTTACCTCCCTTCCATGCCAGTAGACAGTACATCGGAGGAGGGGTGAGAAGATGTAAGTTGGCTCTGCCACTTGTTAAATATTTGACCATGGGCAAGCCCCTTTACATCTCAGAACTAGTTTAGTCACCCATAAAATAGAGCCAAAATACCTGCCCTAGTCAGGCGTGGTGGCTGTAATCCCATTGGGAGGCTGAGGACAGAAGTTTGCTTGAGCCCACGAGTTCGAGACCAGTCTGAACAACATAATGAGACCCCATCTCCACAAAAAATTTAAAAATGTAGGTGGGTGTGGTGGTACATGCCTGTAGTCCCAGCTACTCAGGAGGCTGAGGTGGGAGGACCGCATGAGCCCAGGAGGTAGAGGTTGCAGTGAGTTATGATGGCGCCACTGTCCTCCAGCCTGGGTGACAGAGCGAGATCTTATTTCTAAAATATAATAAGAAGTAGGAAAAATCAATTAAAATCACCCATAATCCTAACTAGGGATACCTACTCTGACCTGGATGCTGCATATTCTTTCAGATTTTTTTCTCAGGCAAATCATTACCTATACTGGCTACAGTGGCTGCCCCATATCACATATCTTTTTTTTTTTTTTTTTTTTTTTTGAGAGGGAGTCTTGCTCTGTCGCCCAGGCTGGAGTGCAATGACGCGATCTTGGCTCACTGCAACCTCTGCCTCCTGGGTTCAAGTGATTCTCCTGCCTCGGCCTCCTGAGTAGCTGGGATTACAGGTGTGTGCCACCACGCCGGCTAATTTTCTTTTTTTTTTGTATTTTTAGTAGATATGGGGTTTCACCATGTTGGTCAGGCTGGTCTTAAACTCCTGACCTCGTGATCCACCCACCTTGGCCTCCCAAAATGCTAGGATTACAGGCATGAGCCACCACGCCTGGCCCTAATTTTTGTATTTTCAGTAGAGACAGGGTTTCGCCATGTTGGCAAGGCTGGTCTTGAACTCCTGACCTGAAGTGATCTGCCCGCCTTGGCCTCCCAAAGTACTGGGATTACAGGCATGAGCCACCGTGCCCGGCCATACCATGTGCTTTATGTGCCAAGTACTGCGAGGGTTATAGTCATCATCTCATTTACCCTTCATGGGACAACCCCAGGATACAGGTGCTATAATTACTCCCAGTTTGCAATATGAAGAAACTGAGGCCAGGGAGGTAAAATAAGTTGCCCATGGTTGCTGGACTGGTCATGGAGCAGCCAAGACTAGAACCCAGGCCTGTGCTGACACCTAGGGCAAGCGCCCAGCTGCAGCCCACATTCCCACCAGCTCCTCCTGGGTGACAGCTGCAGTACCTGTCTGGGCTGAGGTTCTGGCCAGTGTCAAAAGCTCGCGCCATCAGGATCATGGACTGCCTGTCGCCAGCTTCTGCGGCCTTCAGTAAATAATCAAATCCTTTGGTTTTGTTCTCTTCTGTCTCCTATTGATACAAACCAAAGAGGGAGAAAGAAGAGTGAATGAGCTTCACACTCGAGGGCTGCCAAGATCTCACTACTCAATCTTCACCCTGTTTTTTGAGAGCTCTGGGCTGGGAGGCTATAGAAGTGAGGTAGGAGGGGGCACTTGACTCCAGAGGCTTGGCTCAGACACTGAAACAAATCAAGGACAAGCTAAAACAGGGATGGGGGTGGGGAAAGAGCTTTTCATAAGACATGCCCACCAGTGCACCATGTCAGTTTACCATTGTCAAGGCAACACTTCAGAGTTACTGCCCGTTTCCATGGCTATGGCCCCACAACCTAGAAGTTACTACCCTTTCCCTAGACATTTCTTCATAAACCGCCTCTTAATATGCATGCAATTAAAAGTAGGTATAAATCTGATGGCAGAACTGCCCTAAGCTGCTAATCTCAGCACACGGCCTGTGGGGCAGCCCTGCTCCGCAGAAGCAGTCATAGAGCTGTACCACTGCCTAAGCTATAACATTGCCACTTTGATAAAGCTGTTTTCTTCTACATTTGGCTCACCCATGAATTCTTTTCTGGGTGAGGCAAAAAACCCTCCTGGGCCAAGCTCCAATTTGGGGCTTGCCTGCCCTGCATCAGAAGTACACATCAGAAGTACACATCAGAGCTGGGCTACGTGGCTCATGCCTGTAATCCCAGCACTTTGAGAGGTTGAGGCGGGTAGATCATCTGAGGTCAGCAGTTCGAGACCAGCCTGGCCAACATGGTGAAACCCTGTCTCTATTAAAAATACAAAAATTAGCCAGGCGTGCTGATGCATGCCTGTAATTTCAGCTACTCAGGAGGCTGAGGCACGAGAATTGCTTGAATCTGGGAGGCAGAGGTTGCAGTGAACCAAGATCGAGCCACTGCACTGCACTGCATTGCAGACTGGGTGACAGAGAACTCCATCTTAAAATAAAAAAAAAAAAAAAAAAAAAAAGAAGTACACATCCGTAGTTTTTAGTATATTCACAGAACTGTATGACCATCAGTCAATTTCAGAATACTTTCACCAATCCAAAAAGAAATCTCACACTGCTTAACTGTCAATCTCCCTCTACCCCTACTCTCCTCATCCTGCTCAGCACTAGGCATCTATTAGTCTACTTTCTGTCTCTATGGATTGCCTATTCTGGATCTGGACATTTCATAATAATAGAATCGTACAATATGTGGTCCTTTGCAACTCTTTCCACTTAGCACAGTGCTTTCACAGTCCATCTGTGTTGTAGCGCGTATCAATATTTCATTCCTTTTTATGATCAAATAATAGTCCATTGTATGGATGTATCACATTTCATTTATCCATTCATCTACTGACAGACAGTTGAGTTGTTTTCCATTTTTTGGCTATTATGAATAATGCTGCTATGAAGATTTGTGTACAAGTTTTTATGCGAAAGTGTGTTTTTATTCTTTTGGGTTTATAGCTATGAGTGAAACTGCTGGATCACATATAACTTACCCGGTAAAAAGTAGACAATGCTGCAAATCAGGGTTTGATTTATTCTCGCGCTGTCGCCCAGGCTGGAGTGCAGTGGCCGGATCTCAGCTCACTGCAAGCTCCGCCTCCCGGGTTCACGCCATTCTCCGGCCTCAGCCTCCCGAGTAGCTGGGACTACAGGCGCTGCCACCTCGCCCGGCTATTTTTTTTTTGTATTTCTTAGTAGAGACGGGGTTTCACCGTGTTAGCCAGGATGGTCTCGATCTCCTGACCTCGTGATCCGCCCATCTCGGCCTCCCAAAGTGCTGGGATTACAGGCTTGAGCCACCGCGCCCGGCTGATTTACTATTTTTTTGATTGTAAGAAAGGCGTAGAAAACATGAACACTACAGATGAAACTGACAAGTGGGTCATGCCTGTAGCTATTCTATTGTGATGAGTGCAGGAAATTGAAGAAATATCCTTCCAGTATTTAAAACTACCGTCTGTTTCAGGAAGGAGGTCGCTCACATCAGAGGCAAATGAAGTTCCAGTTCTAACATAGGTCTTTGTTAATTTCACTTTCATCTCATTTATGTCAGAACTACACTTCTCCATCAATTGCAACCATAGGTTGGCTATGGGTACAAGAGTTTGCAAAAATCAGTGCAAGTATTGGGTGAGAGTTGATGATATGAAATTTACTTTTCATTGTTATTTGTAAGCCATATACCACATATTATTTTTTCTTGTTTTTTTCTGTTTTGTTTTGTTTTTGTTTTTTTGAGACAGGGTCTTGATTTTTGCCCAGGCTGGAGTGCAGTGGCTCCATCATGGCTCATGGAAGCCTCAAACTCTTGTGGTGTATGGTTTTTATCCTCCCACCTCACTCTCCCGAGTAGCTGGGACTACAGGCAGGTGCCACCACACCAGGCTGATTTGTTTTTTGGGGGTGGCCTGAGATGCCACCGACCTTGGTTTGTAGGGATGGAGTTTTGCTACGTTGCCCAGACTGGTCTGAAATTCCTGGACTCAAGCAATCCTCCTGCCTTAGCCTCCCAAAGTGCTGGGGTTACAGGTGTGAACCACCATGCCCAGCCTACCTATTCTTTAAATTAGCAAAATTTAATATATTTACATATATATGTGCACACATTTCCTTCCCACCCCCAAGAGCCAATTGTTAAATGTTCCCCAGCACACCACTGGCTGAATGAGCACAGAGATTAGAGAGAAAGGCCGGGAGTGGTGGCTCACATCTGTAATTCCAGCACTTTGAGAGGCCGAGGTGGGCAGATCACCTGAGGTCAGTAGTTCGAGACCAGCTTGGCCATATGGTGAAATCCCATCTCTACTAAAAATACAAAAATTAGCCAGACATGGTGGCACACATCTGTAATCCCAGCTACTTGGGTGGCTAAGGCAGGAGAATTGCTTGAACCTGGGAGGCGGAGGCTGCAGTGAGCCAAGATCGTGTCACTGCACTCCAGCTTGGGTGACAGAGCGAGACTCTGTCTCAAAAAAAATAAATAAATAAATAAGAGAGAGAGAGAGATTATAGAGAGAGACAAAAAAGTGAAAAATCCTCTCTTCCAACCAAACCTCCTCCTCACCATCTAAAACATGAAACAAAAACTGCTGTAGGCGACCCCCTGCCCACATGTCAAATGATGTAATCTGACTAAACCATAAGAAATTGCCAATATTCTACCATTTATGACCTTCCAAAATAGCAGTTTCATGAGGTTCCACTCATTATGCATGAGGTCAGTCACTACAGCCATTTTTGTGATATCAAAAGAATATAGCCGACTCAAGTGTCCATCAATAGCACACAGGTATGCCTCACACATATAATAGAACATTACACAGCTGTCAAAAAGAATCGGGGAGCTGGCTGGGCGTGGTGGCTTACACCTGTAATCCCAGCACTTTGGGAGGCTGAGGAAGGCAGATCACTTGAGGTCAAAAATTCGAGACCAGCCTGGCCAACATGGCAAAACCCCATGTCCACTAAAAATACAAAAATTAGGCCAGGTGTGGTGGCTCCTGCCTGTAATCCCAGCACTTTGCGAGGCAGAGGTGGGTGGATCACATGAGGTCAGGAGTTCAAAACCAGCCTAGCCAACATGGTAAAACCCCACCTCAACTAAAAAAAATACAAAATTCAGCCAGGCGTGGTGGCAGGCACCTGTAATCCCAGCTACTCAGGGAGCCAAGGCAGGAGAATCGCTTGAACCCAGGAAGCAGAGGTTGCAGTGAGCCGAGATCGAGCTATCACACTCCAGCCTGGGGGACAAGAGCGAGACTTCACGTCAAAAAAAAAAAAAAAAAAAAAAAACCCGGATGTGGTGGTGGGCACCTATAATCCCAGCTACTTGGGAGGTTTAAGCAGGAGAATTGCTTGAACCTGGGTGGTGGAGGTTGCAGTTAGCTGAGATTGTACCACTGCACTCCAGCCTGGGTGACAGAGCCAGATTCTGTCTCAAATTAAACAAACAAACAAACAAACAAAAAGGATCAGAAAGCTATCTCTATACCACTGAGGTAAAATGTCCACAGGACACTGTCAAGTGAAAAACACTAGGTTCAGGAACGTGTGTGTAGGATGCTAACTTTGGAGGAAAAAGCAGGGTGAAAATAGGAGCCCATTTCATATTTGCATATGGAAACTGTGTACTGGGCTGAACAATATCCTCCCAATACTCATGTCCAAGCAGAATGTGATCTGATTTGGAAATAGGGTCCTTGAAGATATAATTAGTTACACTGGCTGGGCACTGTGGCTCATTCCTGTAATCCCAGCACTTTGGGAGGCCGAGGCAGGTGAATCACCCGAGGCCAAGAGTTCGAGGCCAGCCTGGCCAACATGGTGAAACCCCATTTCCACTAAAAATACAAAAATTAGCCAGGTGTGGTGGCAGGTGCCTGTATTCCCAGCTACTCGGGAGACTGAGGCAGGAGAATTGCTTGAACCTGAGAAGTGGAGGTTGCAGTGAGCAGAGATCCCACCAGTGCACTCCAGCCTGGGTGACAGAGCGAGTCTCCATCTCAAAAAAGAAAAAAAAAAATTAGTTATATTAAGATGAGGTCACGCAGGATGTTAGGTAGCCCCTAAATCCTATATACTGTTGTCTTTATAAGAGCAGAAGAAACAGGGAGACAGGAACACAAAGGGAAGATGGAGACAGAGATTTCAGTGATCCAAGCCAAGGAACGCTGAAGATTGCCAGCAACCCCCAGAAGCCAGAAGAAACAAGGAAGGATTCTCCCCTCCAGCCTTCAGAGGAAGGCATGGCTCTACTGACACCTTGATTTCTGGACTTCTAGCTTCCGAAACTGTGAGAGAACAAATTTCTGTTATTATAAGCCACCTGGTTTGTGGAATTTCTTAAGGAAATCCTAGGAATTATATATAATTAATAATGATATATAACTATCATGATAATGATAAAAGTTATCATAATAAAATGATAAAAGTTAATAATAACTCTGGAATTATATATAAGTAATAATGATGGTTACCTGTTATTCAGAGGATGAGAAGATGTGGGGAAGGTGGGAGGAAGAGTTTTCACTGTAAAGCTTTTTTTTTTTTTTTTTTGAGATGGAGTCTCGTTCTGTTGCCCAGGCTGGAGTGCAGTGGTGTGATCTCTGTTCACTGCAACCTCTGTCTCCCAGATTCAAGTGAGTCTCCTGCCTCAGCCTCCCGAGTAGCTGGGATTACAGGCGCATACCACCACACTTGGCTAATTTGTTATATTTTTGGTAGAGACAGGGTTTCACCATGTTGGGTAGACTAGTCTTGAACTCCTGACCTGAGGTGGTCCACCCACCTCCGCCTCCCGAGTACTGGGATTACAGGTTTACAGGTGTGAGCCACTGTACCCAGTCTAAGCTTTTTATATACATTAAAAAAAAAAAAAAAAAAAACTGTTTTGGTTGGGCATGGTGGCTCAGGCCTATAGTCCAAGCTACTCCAGAGGCTGAGGCAGGAGGATCACTTGAACCCAGGAGGTCAAGGCTGCAGTGAGCTACAGTCATGCCACTGCACTCCAACTTGGGTGACAGAGTGAGACTCTGTCTCTAAAATAAATAAATAGTCTGGTGTGGTGGCTCATGCCTGTAATCCTAGCATTTTGGGAGGCCAAGGTGGGCAGATCACCTGAGGTCAGGAGTTCGAGACCAGTCTGGCCAACATGGTAAAACTTTGTCTCTACTAAAAATACAAAAATTAGCTGGGTGTGGTGGCAGGCATCTATGATCCCAGCTACTCGGGAGGCTGAGGCAGGAGAATTGCTTGAACCTGGGAAGTGGAGGTTGCACTGAGCCGAGATTGTGCCACTGCACTCCAGCCTGGGCAACAAAGCAAGACTCTGTCTCAAAAAAACAAAAATAAAACAATAAATAAATAAGTTTTTAATCACATGAATGTAATTACCAATTCAAAAAGCTAAATAAATAAAGGACTTTGGAGTATCTTTCCACCCTTGAGTCTGAGATCCATCCACCTGCTTGGCCACAGCCAAACCCGTCGAGGAGAGCTGATGCCCTGCAGCCCCACTGAGCCGAGGCCACCTGTCCACGCGCAGCTTTGGCCCACGTGATGGGGAGGATGGGAACAGATATACTGGGAGGATGTGCCCACCAAGGGCCTCTCAACTTCTCCTGGAAAATGATCACATTCCCTGGGCCTTGCCAGATCCCGTTCATTCAGTCCTTTCCTCCCTCTGCTCATGGACCAGGGACAGAAGAAGCAGCAGACCCCTACACAATTTCCCTGCACGTCCACACCCTGCTGCTTCAGCTCCAGTTCTGCCTCAGCTCCTGCACCTCTAGCTACACGGGTGCACCTTGTCCTTCACCTCTGGGCCTAAGCACATGCTGTTCCTTCTATCTGAGCTGCTCACCTCCCCCACTTGGCCTGGCTCACTCCCTTTGGGCCTTCAGGTCTAAAGCAGATATCCCCCCAACTTTTTTGTTTTTTAGGGATAGGATCTCACTCTGTTGCCCAGGCTGGAGTGCAGTAGTGCGATCTCCGCTCACTACAACCTCCGTCTCCCAGGTTCAAGAGATTCTCCCACCTCAGCCTCCCGAGTAGGTGGGATTACAGGTGCGTGCCACCCCATCCGGCTAATTTTTGTATTTTTTGGTAGAGGCGGGGTTTCACCGTGTTGGCCAGGCTGGTCTCGATCTCCTGGCCTCATGTGATCCACCCACCTCGGCCTCCCAAAGTTCTGAGATTACAGGTGTAAGCCACCGCTCTGGCCTAAGGTAGGTATCCCTTATATCAGTTCATTCCACGAATCTGTACCGAGCATCTACTCAGTGCCAGGCCCCAGTCACTAGAGATACATGCAGAACTGATGAGCAGGAAGCCTGCACCAACCCCTCCAGGCCCCAGTTACAGCCCTTCCTCACGTGTTTCCACTGGTGTCTTCCGCTTCCCCCATCACACTATGTTGTTATTGCCAGGAAACATGACTCACCTTCCCCTTCCTCTCCAAAGACAGAGATCGATTCTGCCAGTTTCAACTAACTTGGAGGGGCCTGCCCCCAAACCAGTGCTTGGGACATTTTTGTGGCATGTATACACCTCAGGATAGAAGGCAGGTGAATGCATGGCTTCCAGGATGGGAGGCAGGTGAACAACAGGGTGACCAAGTCCCACCCCCACCTGCAGCTGGGTCCCTGCCACCTGCTCACCTTCAGAGAGACGTCAGCTAGGATGTGATGGGGCAGCTGCGAGTACATGAGTCCCAGGCCCACGATGGCCTCCAGCTCGCCCAGGTCGGCCGCGTGCTCCAGGTGGAAGACAGCCGACTCCCGGTCCCACTCCTCGCCCTTCTCGCAGAAGCGCCCACCCTCGTGGTAGCGCACCATGGCCAGATGGACCTGCCACACAGACTACAGTGTCGGCCTGGCTGTTTGGCAGGCCGAAGCCGCACCCAAGACCGCCCAGCCAGCCTGCAGGAGGAAGTGATTAGCAGAGGAGAGGCTGGAGTCGGGGGACTCCAGGTTAGTGCAGACAGGGCTCCAAAATGGGCATCGCCGATACCTTCCCCAAAATGGACTTCCCGATTTTCTTTTCGAGGTCCAGAGCATTAAGCCTTTGCACTTCCAGGGCCACGGCCGAAGCCCTCGGCAGGTGGAGGCGGGAGGAGTTGAGGAGATTCCACTTCTCTACACAGACCTGAAGGGAAAGAACCGGCCAGAGAAGCGAAGGGCTGGGGGTGGATGCAGCATGACAGCTGTCAGCAGCCCCTACCACACAGGAGCCTGGCTAGAGGGAGAGCGAACCCTCGTGATGTCAAAGTTTATTGGCCATATATGGCTCCAATTTTTTTTTTTTTGAGACAGAGTCTCACTCTGTCGCCCAGGCTGGAGTGCAATGGCACAATCTTGGCTCACTGCAACCTCCACCTCCCAGGTTCAAGTGATCCTTCTGCCTCAGCTTCCCGAGTAGCTGGGACGACAGGTGCACGCCACCATGCCTGGCTAATACGGTTTCAATTTTAATCATCCAAATTCCATCAGCTCATGCGTTCAAGAGCTAGTGGAACAGATTTCAGCAGCTCAAGGAAGCGTTTCCCCGTCATTTACCAATCTGGATTTGGTTGGGGGGGGTTTGACCCTAAACCACCCCTCTTTGCCAGCTCCTCATGTAAGGCACCAGAAGACTCCCACTTCAGACCTTCCAGCAAATCCCCTTGCTTTCCTCTGCAAGTCACCACAACGACATGAGCAACATCAGCAGGGTGCTTTAGGAAATGGGTTTAAAAAACACATCATTTCTCCTGGCCAAAGATGCCCCATCCAAAGGCCCTTGCAGGATACAGCCAAGCAGCTATGTGTGTGCACGTGTGCATGCTAAACATCTTGCAATGCACAGGGCAGCCCCCTCAACAAGGAACGATTCAGCCCAAAATGCCAATAGTGCCTCACTTGAGCAACCCTGTTCCATACCTAACAGAGAAGATCCTAATCTGGCTACAAAATGCCACAGGGTAAATAATCAGTGTTCTTGGAGATGCCAGAGTCATGCCTGTGGTGGAGGTCAGGGAAGGCTCCCGGACGAAGGGCCCTGGGGTCCAGGCTTGGACAGCAGGTAGGATTTGAAGAGAGATAACAGAGGGGGATAAAGGACCTTGCAGGTAGGAGAGACTTGCCTTAGCAAAGGCTCCAAAGGTGGGCGGTTCAAAGCGTGTGAGGGAATCACTTAGAGGGGTGGGTGGGGCACAGGGCTGGTCTTTCCCAGATGTGCTGATGCTTGTTAGACATACAAGCAAGGGTAACCTAGGGAAAGTTGCTTAAGAGCCCGGTTTTCTCATACATAAAACGGGGATGAGAGTAACATTAGCCTGTCTTTCTGGGTGATTGCAAGAAGGAAATTGATTACCGCAAAGCGCCTTCATGGCAGGCACTTAAGACAGGAGCCTTAGCTGTTGCGATTTCCCCTCCAGGATGGGGCTGTCCTGTTCTTCTCTAATCCTCCCCACAAATCCCCCAGCATCCTGTCCTGCAGAGGTTCAAAGAGCATTTGCCCAGGAGATTTGCTGCTTTGCAAAATCTTCCTTTAGCACATGTGCCAGACAGATGCGCAGGCAGCAGAGATATGAGACAGAAGAAACAGCAACAGAGACTGGAGGAGGCAGGGAAGCAGTGGTGACAAGGGTGCCTTGGGGCGCATTACCCGTCCGCAGCTGCCCAGGCTGTCTTCGTCAGACTCGTACTTCCGGTTACCGTTTGAGTGGCCCTGAACGGAGGAAGAAATTACAGTGATCCAAAGCGCAAGGCTTCTTCCCAGGAACCTCTCCTGAGAGCTGGTCCAGCCCTCTTCCCTGGAACCATCCTGGCCCTCGCAGGTGACCCTTATCTCAGAAAATTGGCCCTATGTTCCCAGGTGACACTGGAACCCTTCTCTGCCAAGCAGAATGAATGCTGGGTCACAGGCAGGGATGACATGCTGGTGCAGCCACAGCCTCACTGTCCCTCTCCCTGTGTGAGCAGGGGGAACTGACTCGATGGCGCAGGATCCCAGCACAAAGCCACTGGGGTAACGGGCTCCCGTCCTACTGCGTGTTTAGTTTATATTTTAATTTAGACATGGGCCTTGCTCTGTTGCCCAGGCAGGAGTGCAGTGGTGCAATCAAAGCTCACTGCTGCCTCAAACTCCCCAGGTTCAAGCAGTCCTCTCACAGTGCCTTCTCAAAGTGCCAGAATTGCAGGTGTGAGTCACCAGGCCCAGTCATTTTGCGTTTTGCGATTTGTTTTGTTTTTGTTTATGTTTTTTCGAGACAAAGTCTCACTCTGTGGTTCAGGCTGGAGTGCAGTGGCATGACCTCGGCTCCCTGCAACCTCCACCTCCCAGGCTCAAGTGATTCTCATGCCTCAGCCTCCCGAGTAGCTGGGACTAGAGGGGTACACCACTGCACCCGGCTAATTTTTGAGTTGAGATGGGGTTTCACCATGTTGGCCAGGCTGGTCTCGAACTTCTGGCCTCAAGTGATCTGCCTGCCTTGGCCTCCCAAAGTGCTGGGATTACAGGTATGAGCCACCACGCCCAGCCAGCATGTTCTTTATTCACAATCATAAAGCTGAGATTAGAGGTGTCCCAGCAAGACAGGCCTTGATGTGCATGCTCCATTTCAGCACAGGGTAACACCTCTAAGTGGCAGATACTGTCTGAGGCCGCCCTCACCAGGATGCTGCTGGGAGGCTGCCCAAGGAAACTGACCTCCAAGACCCTCCTCCCCAGGGCCTCACAGGATCCTGCCAATGAGTGGGTCTAGCTATTACCCAGGATCCTCTCTGCTCAGCAGCCTCCCACTTCACCATAAGATTTGTCAGCCATCATTAGCCTTATATCTAAGCCTCCACACTTGCCCCATTACTGGTCCACATGATCCTGTTTTATCTTCTCCTTTGCATTTATCTTTATCTGACATACTCTTTTATTTTATTTTATTTTATTTTTAATTTTATTTTTGAGACAGAGTCTCACTGTGTCACCCAGGCTAGAGTGCAGTGGCACGATCTTGGCTCACTGCAACCTCCGTCTTCTGGGTTAAAGCAATTCTCCTGCCTCAGCTTCCTGAGTAGCTGGGATTACAGGCATGCACCACCATACCAGGCTAATTTTTGTATTGTTAGTACAGACGGGGTTTTGCCATGTTGGCCAGGCTGGTCTCGAACTCCTGATGTCAGGTGATCCACCCACCTTGGCCTCCCAAAGTGTTGGGATTACAGCCATGAGCCACCGTGCCCAGCCTGAAATACTCTTTATTAATTTACTTGTTATCTTCTCAGGACCTACTCATATTCCCCCTCCAAGAAGGGGAGTTTTCATTTTCCTGGAGGATAAATGAGGCAACAGGTGACACTGGTCTCATTTCCTGGGGGTTCCTTACATGTTCTCGGGGCTCAGGGTCATCCAGCTCACCCCGCTTCTCACTGGGGTATCCACTGTCCCCACTATTTTCAGAGTCCTGTGGAGAGAAGATGGCTTTAGGGTCCTAGTGGTCTCCTGAGCGCCTCGCAATGGTTACGACATCTGGACACCCCAACCGTTGGCTTTCTCCCCTCTGTCCCATTACCTAACACCCTGCTCCTGCTGTCCCTTGCCGACTGGGTGACAAGGGAACAGTATAAGGTAACAGTAAGGACCTTGGGCTCTACAGTCAGACGACCTGGGCTCGAATCCTGGCTTTCTTTCTTGCCAGCTGAGTCCTTGGGTCGTTGTTTTAACTTCTCTGAGCATCAATGTCTTTAGCTATGGGATTCATTATAGTCCCTACATCAAAGGGCTGTGTGGGTGAAACCCATTGTTACATTCTGAGAGTATGGATCACAGGAAGTGCTTTACTGAGAGTGACTCACCCATTTCACAGGCAGAAAAACAAAGGCTATGACCCACGGACAAAAATATAGCATTGGGAACAATATTTACTATAAATAAGCCCTCAACCAAAACCACACAGGTCACCTGGGCATATTTATTTTTTTTTTTTTGAGATGGAGTCTCGCTCTGTCACCCAGGCTGGAGTGCAGTGGCACGATCTCAGCTCACTGCAACCTCCACTTCTTGGGTTCAAGTGATTGTCCTGTCTTAATCTCCCGGAAAGCTGGGACTACAGGCGTCTGCCACCACGCCCGGCTAATTTTTGTATTTTTAGTAGAGACAGGGTTTCACCATATTGGCCAGGCTGGTCTCGAACTCCTGAACTTGTAATCCGCCCGCATCGGCCTCCCAAAGTGCTGGGATTACAGGCATGAGCCACCGTGCCTGGCCTACTTGGGCATTTGTTTTTTGTTTTTGTTTTTTTCGAGATGGGGTCTCACTCTGTCGCCCAGGCTGGAATGCAGTGGCGTGATCTCGGCTCACTGCAACCTCTGCCTCCCAGGTTCATGCCATTCTCCTGCTTCAGCCTCTGGAGTAGCTAGGACTACAGGCACCCGCCACCACAGTCGGCTAACTTTTTATATTTTTATATTTTTAGTAGAGACGGGGTTTCACCGTGTTAGCCAGGATGGTCTCCACCTCCTGACCTCGTGATCCGCCCGCCCCAGCCTCCCAAAGTGCTGGGCATATTTTTTATTCTCCCAGGTCTGAGTTCTGTTCTGAAAGGGAATCTGGTATAATTTAGAATCTCTAAAACTTCAGCCATGTACCTACCAACACTGAATTATAGCCCTCTCTGCATGTCACCTGCACGATTAGTAACAGAATATTTTTATTTCCTTCTTTATCTTTGTAAGAAGTTTTTCTTTTGTGTGTGTGTGTTGGGGGGTGGGGGGTGGGGCAGGGTCTCACTCTGTTGCCCAGGCTGGAGTACAGTGGCAGGATCTCAGCTCACTGCAACCTCCACCTCCCAGGTTCAAGCAATTCTCTTGCCTCAGCCTCCCAAGTAGCTGGGATTACAGGCACATGCCACCATGCCTAGCTAATTTTTATATTTTTTGTAGAGATGAGGTTTCATCATGTTGGCCAGGCTGGTCTCAAACTCCTGGCCTCAAGCAATCTGCCCGCCTCAGCCTCCCATAGTGCTGGGATTACAGGTGTGAGCCACCACACCCAGCTTCTACTAAGACTGAGTCTTGCTTTGTTGCCCAGGTTGGAGTGCAGTGGTGCAATCTCTGCTCACGGCAACCTCTGCCTCCTGGGTTCAAGAAATTCTCCTGCCTCAGCCTCCTGAGTAGCTGGGATTATAGGCGCCTGCCTGTAGTACCCGGTTAATTTTTGTATTTTTAGTAGAGATGGGGTTTTGCCATATTGATCAGGCTGGTCTTCAAATTCCTGTCTCAAGTGATCGACCCGCCTCGGCCTCCCAAAGTGCTGGGATTACAGGTGTGAGCCACTGTGCTCAGCCTCTACTAAAAAGTTTTTTTTTTTTTTTAAGACAAGATCTCACTCTGTCACCCAGGCTGGAGTGCAGTGGTGTGATGATGGCTTACTGCAGCCTCTGCCTCCCAGGTTCAAGAGATCCTCCTACCTCAGCCTTCTGAGTAGCTGGGACTACAGGTAAGTGCCACCATGCCTGGCTAATTTTTGTATTTTTTTGTAGAGATGGGGGTCTTGTCATATTGCCCAGGCTAGTTTCAAACTCTTGGGCTCAAGTGATCTGCCCACCTTGGTCTCCCAACCTACTGGGATTATAGGCATGAGCTACCGTGCCTGGCCAATTTTACTAAGAAATATTTCAAACACACACACAAGCATAGAGAGTATTATAATTTGCCATAATATACATTTGTAAGAATGCAGATAAGATGCCTTCAGTTTCTTACCACCAAGTCAACCCAAAGCTGCAGGAAATGTTCTGTTTATCTAACGGGAGAGCTAGGTGTGAAGAGCTAGAACACGTGGCTTACTGTGCTATGTGTTACACATCTAAGATCCAGTATGGGGGCTCTATAGGACAACCAACACATGTGGGGTCAAACCAAACCTGGGGCTGAGCCTGGCATTTACTACAAGATTGCATTGTTGCTGATTGGGAGTCCCTCTTCCCTAGCCATCTCTGGGAACTGCAAGGGACCCACCTTTTCTCAGAGGAAAGCTCAGCCTTGGGCCGGAGGCTGACATTCATCTGCATCCTCCCTAATTCCCCCATCCTATGCCTTCCTGGCAGTGCCTGGGCTGGGCTGCCCACCTCCAAAGCTGAAGATTCACTCTGGGAGTGAATCCACTTCTCCTACCCCTGCCGGGGTCTGAAGCCTGCAGCCTCCCTCCCTTCACACTCACCCGGTGGTTGTCTAGATGATCATGGTCTCTGGATGCCATGTTATCGAGGTCACTGAACACTGGCCAATCTGGGCAGGGAGAAACAGACATCATGTCCTGGTTCCACTACTGGAACATGCATTAAGACCAACCCACGGCCTAGGGCAGCCCATACCTGCCACCAAGCCATTTTTTTTTTTAAGCTTTAAAGAAAGGCACAAAAAAGGAGAATGTTATCAGCAATTGGAGGTTAAAGTTCTTCCTTGAGAACTTATTCTAAGTCTACTGTTTGCCAGCTGCGTGATTCTGGCCAAGTGGTGCCACCTACGTGTGTCCTCAGGGTTGTCACAATGCAATTATCCTTGTAATGTGTTTTTCAGCATATGTGCCTGGCCACCGCTTGGTCCTCAATAAGATGCAGTTGTGAAGGAAGAAAAGACATTTGAATATTTGGGGCTCAAGAAGTGGGCCTCGGACAGCTTCAAAACCAACTATCTCCAGCTGGGGGTGGTGCCTTACGCCTGTAATCCCAGAACTTTGGGAGGCCGAGGCAGGTGGATCACCTGAGGTCAGGAGTTTGAGACCAATCTGGCCAACATAGTGAAACCCCATCTCTACTAAAAATACAAAAATTAGCTGGGTGTGGTGGCATGCACCTGTAGTCCCAACTACTCGGGAGGCTGAGGCAGGAGAATCGTTTGAACTCGGGAGGTGGAGGTTGCAGTGAGCCAAGATCATGCCACCACATTCCAGCCTGGGTGACAGAGCGACACTCTGTCTCAAAAACAAAAAACAAAAACAAAAAAACACCAACCATCTCCTGGGGGTTCCCTATCTCTGTCTCCTGTCCTCTACAGTCAAATCTGTCTGCCTGTTTTTATAACAGGCACTGTTTGTAAGAACAGTGTTTACATTTTTAAATGGATGACAAAAATTAAATTTCACCATCTATAGAGTTTTACTGCAAAACAGCCACGTCCACCCATTTAAGTATTTTTTATGGTAGCTTTCATGCTCCAAATACAGAGACTGAATGAGCTGCAAAGCTTAAAATATTTACTCTCTGGCCTTTCAAAAAAGTCTGTTGACTCCTGTTCCAGACTATTCTGAAGACCTTCCAGTGGAAACATGTAAAGGGCTTCTTTAATGTTTGATACTAAAATCTTTCTCTCTTCCAAAGGTATCAAAATGAGAAAAATTAAAAAACTAAATAATAAAATCTTGCTCTCCTGCTCTGAGCCTGCTTCCGCTTACACTTTCCCTGAATACATGACTTCCATCTCTTCAGGCCAACACCCTGGGGTCAGTCTTGCCTCTATCCTTTCCTACAAACTCTCGTCTGAATCATCAGCAAACTCCATTCTTTCAGCATCAGAAATAACGATCCTGTTTTTCTCCTTTTACCCATTAATATCACGTTCATAGCTTTTCTAACATTGAACAATCCTCAGATTCCTGTGAAATCCCTATTTAACTGTGACAGGTGAACCTTTTAACATAGTACTATTTTTATTTGTTAATATCTATTTAGATTTTTTAAAAATCTATTTAGATTTTGTTGTTGTTGTTCTCTCTCTATACACAAACATTTTAAATAAGGTTGGGATATAATTTCCTTTTTTGGTATGTCAAATTTATTGTATGAGTTTTGCTGGTTTCATAAAACACACTGATAAAAGTTACTTTGTTTCCTACAATAGGGGTTGTTTTTATAGCATTTGGATGATCTGTTTTGGAAGTTCACTCAATGAAACTCACCTATAAAATCACTGGGGCCATGAACCTTTTTGATTAGCATGTCTGATTTTTCTAACATAAATGAAAGCCAGTTTAGTTCTGCTCTACCTGTCCCCTCCAATCACAGTGACTAAGGACCGAACCGTCACTCACGGAGGTGGTCTAGCTTCTGGCTGTGTGGTGTGGCCGAAGATGGGGAAGAAGGGAGAGAGTCGAAGGTCACATCGCTCATGTTCTCATCTCCAGAGTTCTCTGAAAGGGGACGGAGCAGGGGTGGCCGGCTCCCAGAGAGGGTCCTTACTCGGGGGCTCCCACATTTTTCCTCTGTTCCTCTCAAGATGGTCTTGGCTGATTGCTGGGGACATTAACAGGGATACTCATGTCACGCACACACCCTCTGGGAAATAAAGGGCTCTTCCTGTTGTTCTTTCTAGCCCTGAAACCCCTTCACCCACAGCTCCTGAACATGCCTGTTTAGTAGCTGATACATTGTCTTAAAAAATAAAAAAGCAGTAGGGGATTAAACCTAAGGCCAAGAAAGGGCATCTGGAACAGAGGCTCAGAGGACCTGCCAGCATCCCCTAAAGCACTGACCACATTCCACAGCCCAGAGCTGGAGAAAGTATCCCACTCTATGTCCAGCATCCCAAGCTGGTCTTTGCAGCATTCTCTTGTCTCTGGTCCAAGTAGCAATGGGAGGGATAGGAGTTATCTTGGTGAGGTGCCTGGAGAGCCAGGTCTAAGACTCGTTCAGTCATTTGTCAATACATCCCACAAACACACACATACACCACACACCTTCTCACTATCTCCACGTGCCTGTTCCCTTCACTCTGGTAAAAAAAAAAAAAATGGGCCCAACCTAAGCAGATACCAGCTGCTCTACTGTAAGGACACTCAGGAGGACTTTGTGCACCGAGCTGGAGGGGACGGGCTGGGGCAAGGGTGGGACAGATGCTTCCAGCCTGGTATTCGTCAGTTAAGCACTGCTTGACCTGGCTGTCACCACATAGGGGAGCAGGGCTTGCTTTGCGGGTAGCAGAAGGGCCTGCCAGGCCAAGCAGGGTCATACTGGGCACCCACCAGCAGCTTGGTGTTCTGATTCACCGCGTCCCTCTCCCGGGGCGAGAGGTCAAAGGGAGCAAGGCCCATGCTCTCGCAAATCCGGTTGCAGGCATGAGAGTAGAAGAAGAGCGCCATCCCACGGACACCTGTGGACAGAGCGGGGGTGTCTGGAGTGTTGCTTTGCTCTGTGACGGGGGACAGGCAGTGGTGGGCCTCATACACATGGCCAGGGCAGGTATAAAATGTGCCAAGCTGGGAGGCATCAGTCATCCAGGCTCCCGTCTCCATGATCTTGAAAAAGCGCATACAATGTCTCAGCCTGTTTCCTGGGCTGTACAAAGAGCTCAGAGGTTTTAGCAGGGAGCGTGGTTTCTGCGGAAACAGTCCGGCTTTCCCCACCTACCTAGGTTGCCGTCTCCAAAGTCAGTGCCCGTCTCTGTGTGGATCTGTGGGTCAGTGTAGAGATCCCCAACTCCCTGGATGTCCACCACTATCAGCTGATGGCCGGAACGCTCAAACGTGAAGTGACTGAAGGCCTACGGGGCACAGGAAGGAAAATGAGATGTCAAGAGACAGGCTGAAGGCTGTGCAGGCACTGGCCACGCCTCTGCCCATGCTGAGGGGCTTTCTCTGCAAGGAGTTATATAGAGGAAAAGACAAAGGAAAAAGGCCTCTTCAGTTGGGCAGGGACCTTGAGCTGCAGGTCCTGTGGCCATCTTAGGTGACAGAAGCTATCATGGGGTGACGGGCGTCTCGTTACAGTCTCCTTCTGAATGTTCCAAGAGGCTTCTCTGGGAGTGAGACTCCAAGCCCACAGGGACCTTCCTCTTTAGAGGCTGAGCCTGGCCAGGATCTCACCCCAAGGACTGTGGTGGGCAGAGGGTGGTGGTGAGCCCGGGCCTCACCTGCGGCGTCAGGCGGATGTTGTCATCACGGACAAAGCCAGAGTTGGAATTGTACTTGATGTACTTGCCCTCGATGTAGTGCTCCAGGTGGAAGAGGGGCTTGCCCGGTCTGTCCCTCAGCTCGATGATGCACATCTGCATGATGTCCACCTGGTGGGATGGGGAGTGGGCTCAGGCGGGAGGGCCCAGGCGCACCTCCTCTGAGAAATGGCAAGGGGAGGGCTGAGAGGAACTCGCCTGCGTGGGCTCAGATCCTGGCTCCATCACTTACTAGCTCTCTATTGCCAGAGCTCCTGGTGATGCCCAGAATCTAATCTCTTTTCCTTTCATTTTTTTTAAATTAAAAAAAATATATTTTTAGGCTAGGCACAGTGGCTTACATCTGTAATCCCAGCACTTTGGGAAGCCGAGGCAGGTGAATCACTTGAGGTTAGGAGTTCGAGAACAGCCTGGTCAACATGGTGAAATACTGCCTCTACTAAAAATACAAAAACTAAGGCTGGGTGTGGTGGCTCACACCTGTAATCCCAGCACTTTGGGAGGCTGAGGTGGGTGGATCACCAGAGGCCAGGAGTTCGAGACCAACTGTGGCCAACATGGTGAAACCCTGTCTCTACCAAAAATACAAAATTAGCCAGGCATGGTGGCACATGCCTGTAATCCCAACTATTTGGGAGGCTGAGGCAGGAGGATTGCTTGAACCTGGGAGGTGGAGGAAGTGGAGGTTGCAGTGAGTCAAGATTGCACCACTGTACTCCAGTCCTGGGCAACAGAAGCAAAACTCCATCTCAAAAATAAATAAATAAATAATAAAATAAAAATTAAAAAACTAGCTGGGCGTGCCTTGCATGTGCCTGTAAACTAGCTACTCAGAGTGTTGAGGCAGGAGAATCACTTTAACCCAGGGAGGCGGAAGTTACAGTGAGCCAAGATCACGTCACTGCACTCCGCCTGGGTGACAGAGTGGAGACTCTGCCTGGAAAAAAAAAAAAAATTTATTTTAGAGACAGGGTCTCACTCTGTTGCCTCAGGTGCTGGAGTGCAGTGTCCATAATCATGGCTCATTACAGCCTCAAACTTCTGGGCTCAAGTGATCCTCCCACCTCAGCGCTCCCAAGAAGCTAGGACTACAGGCGTGTGTCACTACATGTGGGCTCATATCTAAATTTTTTTTTTTTTTTTTTTTTTTTTTTTTTTTGGACCGGAGTCTCGCTCTGTCCCCCAGGCTGGAGTGCAGTGGCCGGATCTCAGCTCACTGCAAGCTCCGCCTCCCCGGGTTCACGCCATTCTCCCTGCCTCAGCCTCCCGAGTAGCTGGACTACAGGCGCCCGCCACCGTCGCCTGGCTAGTTTTTGTATTTTTTTTTAGTAGAGACGGGGTTTCACCGTGTTAGCCAGGATGGTCTCGATCTCTGACCTCGTGATCCGCCCGTCTCGGCCTCCCAAAGTGCTGGGATTACAGGCTTGAGCCACCGCGCCCGGCCCTAAATTTTTTTTTTATAAGACGAGGTCTCACTATGCTGCCTAGGCTGGTCTTGAACTGGCCTCAAGCAATCCTTTTGCCTTCCAGCATCCTCCCAGAGTATTAGGATCACAAGCTGCAGCATTGTGCTCAGCTCTGTTTTCCTTTGAGTTTTAAAAGGTACACAGCCACCCACTAGGGATGATATTGCTAAGCTTCCCTTGGCAGCTAAGTTGGTGGCACATGACTGTGCCCAGCCAATGGGAAGTGAGCATTTGATGATGTAACTCCAGCCTGCCCTGTAGGTGGACCTCGTGCTTGGAGCCAGAACTGATTATGTGTCACGGCAACCCCTGAGGGGATGGCAGGAGAAAAAGACCAAAGGAACCAGGTCTCTAGATGGCTTCAAGGAGATGAGGCAACAGCCTACCCCAAGCACCCACCAACGCAAGACCCCTCCACACAGTGAAAAGAAACCATTTTGTGTCTGCACATATTGGTGGGTCTGTTTGCTAGGCACTCAGACTATGCCTTACTGTAATACTGTGAATTTGAGCACATTTCTGAATTTCACCTCTCTGTGCTTCAGTTTCCTTACCTGCCTAAACAGGTCTCAGAACTCAATCTGTAAATTAAAGTTATTGATGCAAAAAGGAGCCAGGCAATGTTTGCTTTATTTTTTATTTTATTGAGACAGAGTCTACACTCTGTTGCCCGGCTAGAGTGGCAGTTAGCACAATCTTGGCTCACTGCAACCTCTGCTCCTAGGTTCAAGCAATTCCTCTGTCTCAGCCTCTTGAGTAGCTGGGACTATAAGCACCTGCCATCATGCGCTGGCTAATTGTTGTATTTTTATAGAGACAGTTTTACATGTTGGCCAGGCTGGTCTTAGAACTCCTGACCTCAAGTGGATCCACCCCCTGGGCCTCCCAGTACTGGATTACAGGTGTGAGCCACTGCGCCTGGCCACTCATTTTATTTTTATCAGGAGCTACAATTCTAGAGAAATATAAACCAACTCTAAACAGCAGAAATATAAACCAACCTCTAAACAGTTTTCTCCTTGCAATGGGAAATTATAGGAACTTTGACATTCCTCGCTGATTTTTTTTTTTTTTTTTACAAAGTCTATGTTTAATTTTGTACACAGAAGAAAATGTATAAAGAGTGCATATATGTTTGTAAGTGGAGTAGGAGGAGATTAGGGACTCTAGCTGGCACCTCTTGCCGTGTGTTACACAAGGACTCATCCTTGGTCCCCATGTCCCCCTCAATGCCACTTCCTGGGAGGATTAGGTCCAGGTTTCCCAAGGAAAAGACCATCCGCGGAGAGTGGGTCACCAGACATGCGAGACAACAGCTGCAGAGGCCGAAGGGGTCCTGATCTGAGAGGTGAGAACTGTCCCAAATGGACTCAGTTGGTTCTGAGAACCGGTCCTGAGGGAAGGCAGGGAGGGGCAGTTCTCAGGAGCATTCTGCCTCACAAAGGCTGGTTCCATCCCTACGAGGAAATTACAGCAGGGCCACCTGCTCGGCCAGAGGTTCCCTGGGCGAGGGCAGTGGCACAGCCATGGTGGACAGCCAGGACCTCCTCAAACAACACGTCCTTTCCCTCCCTTAAAGTCAACCACATTTATTACTACTACTTACTACTACTACTACTACTACTACTACTACTACTACTACTACTACTACTACTATATACTATTTGGGATGGAGTCTTGCTCTGTCACCCAGGCTGGAGTGCAGTGGCCCAATCTCAGCTCACTGCACCTCTGCCTCTCATGTTTCAAGTGATTCTTCCTGCCTCAGCTCCCAATGTAGCTGGGATTATAGGCATGGCACCACCACGCCAGGCTAATTTTGTATTTTGATAGAGATGGGGTTCACCATGTTGGCCAGGCTAGTCTCCCAACTCCTGACCTCAGGTGAGCCGCCCATCTCAGCCTCCCAAAGTACTGGGATTACAGGCCATGAGCCACTGCGCCCGGCCTACCACATTATTATTTACTGGACACCTAGGCGCT